TTTCGCTTGGGCTAGCAGGCGGGACTGGGCACCGGAATCTGGCAGGTTTCTGAGAAGACGGGGCCCCTAAAGTTTCCGCACCTGGAATGGTCTTAGGGTATGCTTCGGCGAGTCAGCACCCACCTGCCAGCACTTCCGAGGCAGTGAGGTTTGGTCTCTGAGAACCTGGATGTGGTGGAGAAGGGCATCACCGCAACAAGCATCGCAGGTCTATTGGGATATATGACCTGTCTAGTACCTCAGAAATCTAGCACACAGGCGCATCACTGATAGGTTCTCACAAGCTTGCCATCCCATTTACCAGGAGAGATTTGAGTGAACCTAGGCTCAGACTGAATTTTCTGCAGTCAAATGAGCAAAAGTATGCGTTGTTTTCAATTTAGAGACCTGTTAACATTTATACACCATAAAAAGCAAGTTGGTCTTCACAACGGCCACATTGAAAATATTTATACACAGATATAATACCCACTATCCTGCGCTACCACTACTTTCATGGACACACACACACACACACACACATACACACACAATCTGCTATCAACATTGGACATGAGACTGGCTGGTGCCAGTTAGCCTCCCCACCCTTCCTTACACGCCCATCGGTTATCGTGTGGCCTGAGACATATTGTCTCCCTCTTAATGGCTGGCTTCACTCGCTTCTACTAAATTAATTCTGCAGAAAATCTTGAGGAATTGTTATTTTGCTTGTTACTCAAGATTACATTTCCAGTCTTGGAAATGTTCACAGCCCAGGGTAACACGTTGAATTGTGGTTGGAAAGAAATAGGTGTCCCGTGTGAGAGCAGAAACAGGGCATTATTTGTAAAGAGGGGCAATTAAACCTGGGCTTGGTCTAGAAGCAAAGTCAGAGGAAGTTTGTACAAGGCAGTGATAGCTTCAAAGATACCAAGGTGTCAAAAAAATGCTAGCAGGAAGAACATTCCAGGAGGATGATCACTCCAGGAAAATATTTGAGGAAGTCATGAAAACTGTTCAGCTCCCCAAACCACAGGGTTTCATGGCTGTAAACATACAAGTCACGGGGTATATATGTGTATACCACACATTTTTCTGCCCGCTTCTGTATACTATGCTCTATATACCCCTGTGAAACTTACCTCGTTGATTTCTAAACTCCCCTTTGTACTTTGGAATACCCATTATACACAGGTGGAATGTCACATCTAACACTTCATATCTATGCCCCAATAAGAGTCACAATGGTTTTTTTTCCTGAGAATCAACATGCATTAGCAGAGAGATTTCTTCTTGTGAGCATATCTGACATATGATTTAGTGCTTGCCAGTTGAAAATTTTATTATGAAATCACTTCATACACGATTTGATTAGCTATGGCTGAGTGGTAGCGTAGAGGTCGGTGCAGGCCATGACTTTTCGCAGGAAAACAGATGTCTTTCTGGACGCAATGCAGAGCGTCTTCCTCAAGGTGAACTCTGACCCTTGGCTGACTGCGGCGTGCAGATAATATATCCTTCTCCTTCCCCCACCCCCAAAGCCTCTCATGTTTTAGGAATCACCACAGGAACCATATAACCTTCTCTGTATGCTTTAAACAATTACTCATTTCTCCAGAAATGAAAAGGAACATCATCAGGGACTATTTATTACAGCCTGAGTTACATAGTAAGACTGTCTCAAGTCTCCAGCTCTTCTCTTTGCCTTATAAGAAATGTGCAAAGAGTTTTGTTCCCAGGGCATATTTTCTATGAATGTCTCTTCAAAGTCCTTTTTTAAAGTGTTTTATTTATACTGGGGACCCCACAATAGCCAAGTAATAGTTACATGCCTTTGTGTGGCAGTATATTTGAATGCATAACATAAGATGCACATATTATAATTTCAAAATAATATTTATATGGAAATATAGATACCAAATAAATTTTAAAACCTCAAATTATTGAGGTTTGAAAATATACTGATTATCAGGTTAAGTAATAAGATGCAGTTGCAAACTGTGATGAGCATGAGCTTCTGCATGCTGACTCTGAGGAAACACTTCCCAGAATATTCCATCTCAATGATGCTGGTCTCTCCTTAATCATCACTAATTTCTTACCTCCAAATGGCCAGCATTAATTATCCCAGCAAAGCAAAGGTTTCACTTTAGCAGTTCTGGTATCTTGTTAGTCATAGCTGATTCCTAAGCTCCAGTTAATCAGAACCACCAATTTTTAATTCAAATGTTGCAACATCCTTAATAGAGTCTTTAGGTGACTCTCATGCTTCCCTCAGGATCTTCACAGACAGGGCCTCCATCATCTGGGATGCCATTAACACTCTAAGCCCATACATAATATCTCACTGAGCTCTCAGCACTCAATGGTTTTTCTAACCCAAAGTCCACAGTCCTCCCAAAAACATCATAGGTAGGTCTGTCACAGCAACACCCCACTCCTGGTACCAATTTCAGTCTTAGTTAGAGTTACCATTGCTGTGATGAAACACTGTGACCAAAGCAACTTAGGTGGCAAAGGGTTTATTTTGGTTATACTTCCACATTGTAGTCCATAACTGAAGGAAGTCAGGACAGAAACTCACACAGGGTAGGAACCTGGAGGCAGGAGCTGATGCAGAAGCCATGGAAGGGTGCTGCTTACTGGGTTGATCCCCTGACTTGCCCAGTCTACTTTTGTATAGAACCTAGGACCACTAGCTCAGAGGTGACCCATTGACAATGGTCTGGGCCCTTTCACATCAATCACTAATAACAAATGCCCCCACAAATTTGCGTACAGCCAGGTCTAGTGGAGGCATTTTCTCAGTTGAGGTTCCTGCCTCTCTGACACCTTTAGATTGTTTCAAGTTGACATAAAAGTAGCCAGAAGAGAATCCCTGCCTCACTTCTTTCTTGGTTCCATCTTTCCTCCCTTTCCTACCTGGCCATTTTAAAGGATTAACGCCTGTATGTAGCATGAACTCACATTCGTGAGGGACAATTAATTCATGGTTTACTGTTTCAATCTCCCAACTGGAAATAAAGGAAGCTCGGCCTACGTGTGGAAAGGTTGGTTTCAATTCTGCCAGTGGAGGTGAAGGCCATGTACTCAAGGAAAGCGTTCCTAACTACAAAGCCCAGGCAGTCCCTGGGCTTGGATAAAGAAGAAAACTCTGTTTCTTGATTTTATGAATTTCTGACACAGTGGTTCTCAACCTGTGTGTTATGACCCTTTTGGGGGGTCAAAGAACCCTTTAACAGACATCACCTAAGACTATCAGAAAACACAGATGTTGACACTATTATTCATAACAGTAGCAAAATTACAGTTATGAAATAACAGCAAAAATAATTCTATGGTTAGTTGCTCATAGCATGAGCAACTGTATCAAAGAGTCGAAATATTAGGAAGGTTGAGAACCACTGTTCTAATGTTTCTCTCAATTATGAATTTAGATCCTCACATAGCATTTGCTAGTTGTTCCAATGAGTCTGTCAGCAAGACAAATGCAAGATATTTTCTTATTAAATTATAATTTTCAAGCATTGAGTCTTACCTTGGACCTTCTGCTTTGAAGTGAGTATTTAAACTTTAGTGCTTAGGGTAGTAATTAAGTCTTAATGGCCTGACAATCTTTCCTAATATTGAAATCGTAGTCCATTGTAAAAATGAGTATTAGCTTAAGGCTTATGCACATTTTAAAGAATATACATTGAAACATCACTCTGCATATCTCCAAACCTAGTATTTAGGAAGTAGAAGGATGTGTGCTCAGACTAGGCCTTGGCAAGTTCCAGACCAGCATGGGCTACAAGAAGAGACAATGTCTCAAAACAAAACAAGGGAAACAACACATATTGAAGTAGTTTTGTGTGGAAAATACGTGACAAAAGTGTCTGCGTGTTAACATTTGTTGGAGTCACATGATAAGGATGTGGGGTTTTCTCATGCTATTTCTATATTTGTGTATGCTTAGTTTTTCCCACCATAAAACTATGTTAACATTGTAGTTTCCAGGAGAAAAACAACAACAGCAGTGTTTCATATTCATGTTTTAAAAAAGTGAATTAGTATATCAGAAGATACAGATCCTTGAGGCTTATGTGTGGGTACTATGAACCATACTTTATCATAAATTCATTTTCCACTGTTATTGCTGTCCTTATGTAACAGATGAAGTAATAAACATTATGATAGGAAACACAGGATATGTAAATTTCACTATCCACCATTCTTTTTTTCAACTAAATTGAGGTGACTGGCCATGAGGATCCCTTTCATTTGTATCTGTTTGGATACTATTTAGAAAGCCCTTGGATGCCTTTGTTATTCTATTTTTTCAAATGCATATAGGTGATCAAAGGTAATCCTCAGGACATATGGACAGGCTATGTGCTATAGAGGAGCTATGGATATGCTGTGTAATACAAAGCAGAGTCAGATTTTCAGTGAAAGCAATCTGCCATTTACAGAGTGGTTCAGAAAGCCATCATATCCTTAGTACATGAAACACATATGGAAGCCTTGGTATTATAAAAATATCAATCAATAACTAATTACAAGTGAGTCACAATTTGAGATAATATATCATTTTGTAAATAATTTACCACTTTATCTTCTGGTCAGGACATAGGCCCATTATGCGAAAGTTTATCTCATAATAATATGGGAGGAGTGATTATGAAGGCAGTGAACTCTTCACGGACCACACAGAAGTGAAGCTGGGAAGGCTTTAAGAATTGCTCCCTGGTGGTTTTTCTGCTTTTACTTCCTTCAACATCATAGGAATCTTACATGAGGCTAAATGTGTCAAATTTGAGAATTAGAACCAAATTAAAAAGAAAATAAAAATCTCTCCATATATGTGTTAAAAACTGAATAGCTGTTACTCTCTCTCCTGTGGTGAGTCAGTGAATTCTTACCTCCATGAGTACAGATTTGCAAGCCTCATTCCACCCTGCCATGGAAACCTCTCTTAACATCGCAGTACTATTCTACTTAATAAAAAACAAAATGAGTGTGTTTTGTTCATTCTTCCCACTCTGCGTCCAGACACATTGCTTTTAGTCACCTCAGTACAGACACAGGGCCCAGCACCCGGAGGTCACAAGTCCCTCCTCAGATGATTCAGAAGAGACAAACAGACAAACAACAGATGCATGGCCTTCTTCATTCAGCACAGGGTCTTCCTGTGGCAAATTAGGTCAGGGGTAGTTCCCAGATTTTTAACTCCTTTAAGAAAAGTCTAAGGGGACAAAAAGAAAGAACAAGTTCTGTGTCTGTTTAGGTTTCAATTATTATGATCCAGATTATCACTCAAAAAGTGTTCAAAAAAAATGAGTCAATTTTGCCAAGACTTCAAATTTCAGTAGCATTTGCATAGCATTCAGGGATGCATTTATTTATTCCTTGGAGTAACATTTTTTTCTCAAAAAGAGGTTGGGTAGTAGATACACTCTTTATTAATAATAACTTTCTTAATGTATAGCTTCATGGTTTCCACAGACCATCTAAATTTATCAGCATAAAAGCACTTTTTTTTTTTTTTGGTTTTTCGAGACAGGGTTTCTCTGTATTGTTTTGGAGACTGTCCTGGAGCTCACTCTGTAGGCCAGGCTGGCCTCGAACTCACAGAGATCCGCCTGCCTCTGCCTCCCCAGTGCTAGGATTAAAGGCGTGCACCACCAACACCAGGCATATAAAAAGCACTTTTGTTAAGTGACTGTCTTATCTAGTAACCAGAGCTGGACTACCTGATTTGATGCTTGAAACAATGTTACCACATGGGTAGAGAAGGTATTATTCATTGTCACTACTTTGTAATTGGGAAAAGGAATACTCAGAGGGGTCCGAAGGTTTGCAGGGCCTCACAGAAAAAGTGACAGGCCTAGAGGCAAATTTGCTTCCCTGGGCCCCGTCCCGTTTTCCCTCCTGACATACCGCACAGTTTATAAGGTAAGTAGTACAAAGGCTGATTGCCCTTAAATCTTGTGTCCACTTTGGGGACTGTTTTGCTCTTGCCTCTCCAGCTACCTGGCACCAGCCTGTGCCCAAGCTCTTGGAGTCATGATTAGCAGGAAGGCAGCATGTGACAGCTTGGCCATCTGTCACACACAAAGGGCTGGATGCTGCTTCAGAGTGAAGGGCTCCAAGGCGCGGGTTGGTTAGGCATTCTAAAGCACAGAGAACATCAAATGCATCTCTGAAGCAACTAGAAAACTCAAGTGCTGAACCCAGACCTTTGTGTTCTGGGTGAAAACATCACTCTGCAGATGATTAGCTCCTGCTTTTAGGAAAAGAGCACCGTGTGCTAAAACTTTAGCCTCCGCCATGATGGCCCCTGAAACAGGAGCAGGCAGCAGCTATCCAAAGTCTGCAGTCCTACGCGACTAGGTAATGCTTAAATAAATAATTGGTTCCCATCATACAACTCAGTGTTTAGCCAAGCCCAAGCACACTGCTGCCAGCTTTTCAAAGTCAACACCGGTATCTAAAATAAACACTGGCTGCCTAACACACACTGGTACTTTCATGAAAAAGTGTTGGGAAACAACCCTTTGCCAACACAAGTCCTGCGTATTTTCTGATCGCAGTTGGTTATTCAAAACAGTGTCGAGCCCTTAAACATTTTTAAACTAATGAAGTCAACGACCTTTTCGTTGCTTGTTTGTGGGCAGTTACTCTAACAGGCCTGTAGGAGAGCTGAAATATGACCCGCTCCTACCTGAACATATCAGCTTGCCATAGTTTTATATGGAGCTGGCGAAAGTCATGTGATTCTCGGGTCAGTGACAAAGGACTTCATTACCTCTGGCAATATCAGTAGCGGGTGCTGACATCTGAGGAGAGAAATTGGGCTTTTTATATGTGCGGGACACTCAGCGTGCCTTCCCCAGCATTCTGGAAAAAGTCATTTCCTCACTCTTCTCAGGACACTGTAAATATAGAAAATACGTATTTAAAGACCAGAGAAAAGTCCATCAGAAGTTTCACTCCTAAGACATGTAGAAATGTAGGAATGTAGAAATGTAGTCACAGAGATTGTTTCCACTAGTCAGTCTCCACCAGACACTGTGACAGTCGATGAAATGCAGGATAAAATTGTAAATTTATTTCTTTTTGTTTTTTGTTTTTTTTCTACTTCCTAAAAAAGCCGGATAGTGCTTAAAACTGTGTCTGTCGCTTTAAACTCACAAATTAGGCCGATAGGAAACGTAGGACGTTCAGCTTGTTTGGATTCTTAGGAAGGTTGGTGATGGGTGTACCGCTAGAAACCAACCTTCTCGCCCCTGCCCGCTGCTGGAGACCTGAAGCGCCAGGTGCTCCTAACAAGCGGCCATCGCATCAGAACGCTGTATCTGAGCATTTCCAAGAGGCCACTTTGTGACACGTGAGCCAGTGACGCTAAGGCAAAAGGTCATGGCAAGGGGAGTGGATGGTGGTGCTTAAAGGGAGGAGTTGAAAGCTAACAGGAAAACCGGATGTGAAGAGCATCTCATTTTACCGGCAGCCTTCACGGCGTCAGCAAATGAGTACATTGCCGGCGCCTTCATAATTTATGAAGCACCATTGCCCGGATGACTATGGTTTGGAAGACCTGTTTGCCTTTGTGTGTGTGTGTTTGGATGTTTTGGCCGCATGTATGTCCGTCTGTGTACCACAGGCACAGGTGTTTGTGGAGGCCATCACAGGGTGCCAGATCCTCTGGAACTGGAGTTAGATAGGTTATCAGCCGCTGTGTCTGTGCTGGGCATTGATCTCTGGTCCTCTGCAAGAGCAGCCGGGGTGCTGAATCACTGGGGCCTCTCTCCCAGGCCACAAAATGTATTTTTATATCGTTTTTAAAGGCTGCTTCCTTTAAAACCTATTATTCCGTCTGTGTGCTTACATCTTACCTTTTCCGCTAAGTCGCCATTTTTCATGTCCCTAGATAGCCTTCTACAGTGTGGTATTTAAGACTGCGCGTAGAACAAAGGTGAAACGCTAGGATTTTATCGGGCTGGTTCCTTAGCAGTGGCTGTCTGGCGTAAGCGTTATCATTATGAGCGGGAAAATCAAGGACTGCCACGATGAAGGGTCATACACCTCATTCACATAGTGAGCACAGCTCTGCGAATGTCCTCACAGGAGGGACACGTCCCTTAGCCAAAAGTGGATGTGGAGTGCTTTATTTATGAAGACGTTTTCTCTTACAGATTGGAAGCTAAAAAACATGCAGTTTGTTGAAAATTCTCAAGTCTTTTGCTAAGGACTGGGGCACTGACAGGATTTGAAAGATCCAACACAACTCAAGATGGAGCCAAAGGCACCATCTTTTCCTCTTTACTTTTAATCAGTATTGTAACTGATATATGAAATTGTGTATGCTAGCAAAATACCATGCAGTTTTACTTGTGTATATGCACGTGTACATGCGCGTGTGTGTGTGCACGTGCGTGTGCGTGTGTGTGTGTGTGTGTGTGTGTGTGTGTTTACATAGATGCGTGGGCATATAAGTGTGTAAAGCCAGCATTTGATGTTAGGTGTCTTTCTCAGGTGCCCTCCTCCTTATCCTTTTGAGACAGGCTATCTCCTTGAAATGGGAGCTCAATGGCTGGCTAGAATAGCGATGAGCCTCAGGGACCCACCGCCTCCACCCTGTAGCACTGGGACTACAGAGGCGCACCAGAGACCTCCACTTTTTATGTGGGCGCTGTGGATAAAAATCAGAAAGGTAAATGGCAGGCTCTTTACTGAGACATCTCCCTAGACCCTGTGTGATGTTTTCTTACATACGCACACACTTAAATTAGGTTGAATCTAATTGTAGATAGTCTCAGACATTTAGCATCTATAAATGGCTACAGTTTTCAAAAATCCCTTTTCTAGCTTGGACTTATTTTTTTTAAGTGTCAGGCTATGAGGAGATATTCACCTAATCTTATAAGATGCATCATAAAATTTGAAAAATACCTGGAAACTAAGACATTTTCAGAGTAGCAATGCGGAAAGAAAACATAGTGTTTGTCAAATAATGTAGAATTATCAGTTGTCTGACGACATGGAGGCCACAAAACTCTTGGGTTTAACAAGGCCACTTCAATCGTCTTTTTAAAAACCACAATTCCATTTGAGGCCAGATTTCTAAGAGTGTAAACCTGAAGGGAACTTTACAGGCAGAAAGTTGCCAGAAGATCCCGCTGGCACAGCACCATCTTAGCAATGAGCTCAGAGCAGCTCAGGGCCTGCCCTGGTGTTGCAAAACTGGACAATCTGGGAAGTATTTTGTGAAGACTGTTGGTATGGGGACTAACTTGCTAAGGCTCAGATAAAAATCATTATAAAAATAATGACTACTTTTAGAAAGTTTGATAATATATATCTTATACGTATTAAATTTGACCCAGCTGCTTATAAATTTGTATACATATCTTATCTTGTGCCTTAAATAATATTAATATATATGATTCATACAGTAAAAGTTTTTTGAGGCTCAAATACTTTCTTCAGCTCTCAGGATATGCTTGAGAATGTGGCTTCTCTAAGCCGACTTATGTTCTTGTAGTAAGGATCGTCAATAAAAGAAACATGCCAGCAATTAAGATCATTGCAAAAGCTGTGGTAAAGTACTCTGAAGGAAACAAATATGGACAGACTCTAGGAACAACCGAGAGAGCTCCCACGGGTGCTGACTCTTCAAGTAAGAGTAGTTCAAGCAGAACCATCCCTGGGAAGAAACTGGCTAAACTTGGGATGGAGCGAACCTTCCAACCACAGAGCTGCCTGTCCAGGCTCCAGGACAGATAAGACTCATCGCATTTGCATCTCCTTTGCAATGTGAGGCCAAGGAGCATTTATAACAACATTTTCCTAAAGACCCTATATCCTGCATGAAGGAAACACAAAGTCAGTGTGCTGTAATGTAAATTCCAGTTAGTTCCAAAGAGGTCAGTTTATATCCATGTTCCTAGTATCCTTTGGGGTATAGCATTTATCCCAGAAACTTCACCTTCTAAACACCAGGTATGTGGAAAACATGGGATAATAAAGGTGTGTGTGTGTGTGTGTGTGTGTGATGTATTCAGAAATTAAATTGACCGTTTTTTGCAGCCGTAATTTGAAATCTGATGGTTAAAAAAAAGTTTTACTAAAGTAAATGTATGGAACCGAAGTGGCCTTGGAATCGGTTGCCACGCATATGAAGTATTATCATGCTGGAGTAAGCTGTGGCTCTGTACCAAAGAATATGCCAGCTGTGTTGTCAAATCTGCAAGTATATACCACACACAAATAAATCAATTGGACTGCAGAGCTCTCATTATGATGTCACTATGTTCAAAGTAACAGCCAGGCAGTAGAGGCACACACCTTTAATCCCAGCACTCTGGAGACAGAGACAGGCAAATCTCTGTGAGTTCAACACCAACCTGGTTTACAGAGTGAGCTCCAGGACAGCCAGAGCTACATAATGAGGCCTTGTTTTGGAAAAGCAAACGAACAAAAAGGATGTCACCTCCCAGATCCCTGTTCCAGTGGCCTTGCTTTCTTTGCTGTCATAGACCCTAATCCTCCGGATTAACTCTTCTAGTTACAAAAGAAAAAAGCTTGCTTTTGTGAAAAAAATACGTTTACACACAGTTTTGGTTTTTAGAGGTAATTTTACTATTGACAATTGATTTGTTATAGAACTGCCTTGTAAATTCATTATAATAAAGCTAAATTGTCATTTGATGGGTATTATTTAATCTATACACTGCAGTTCTGATTATTTTTTTTTAGTCTTAAAATTATCTTGGTCTATAGAATAAACTGTATAGTCTTACATTCAAATGGCTTTTGTCTTGTATAAACAAGTCTAGGACTTAGGGATTAACTTTCTTGACACCCAGCCAGAGCCTCCTTTTAAGCCTCAGGAGCCTAAATGCTCAGTGACATGCCCCTCGGAAGGGAAAGAGAGTAAAATGAAGCCTTAACTAATGCTTGTCACAGTGCATGGCTCTGTAACAGTGACTCTCAACCTGTGTGTCAAGCAGCCCTTTCAATGGGGTCACATGTCAGATACCCTGCATCTCATATGCTTACAATACCATTCATAACAGTAGCAAAATTACAGTTGTGAAGTAGCCACAAAAATAATTTTATGCTTGTGGAATATGATATTGAACATTGAGTGCCAAGTCTTAGAATGTTAATATTTTATATTAGTTAATATTTATGTATCAAATGTTCTCAGCATTAGGAAGGTTGAGAACCACTTCTCTAGAATGAGGAATGATTGGGAAATAACGGTGCAGGTCCCTGAGGCTCCATTCCCATTCTGCACTAAGCGCTGTAGGCACACCATGAACAGCTTACTAACTGCAGAGGTGTGGAATGGGTTTTCCCTCCCTGGAGTGGATCTGGGTGAAGTGAAGTGAACAGGCAGATGTTTACACAGAAAACCAGACACGAATCCAGCAGAAGCTTTTCTTAAAAACGTTGGCAAAGGATTTGTTTGTTGTTTGTTCATTGAGACACACTTCAGGAAATGTGATAATAAGGGGAACTCATTGCAGATTCTCCATCACAATTGTAAAGCTGCATTTGAAAGCAGAATAGAGGAAATTCGGTTTCCCTCGTAAGCCATCTGTTTTCAAACACCTTACTCCATAGATGCTCATGTTCTCTCTTTTACAAAAGGTCAGAAAGTCCTTTTGCTGGAATGCTATGTCCTGTCCCACCCTCAGATGTAAGAGTGCAAAGGTCTTAGCATGCCGGGCGGTGGTGGCACACGCCTTCAATCCCAGCCCTTGGGAGGCAGAGGCAGGCGGATCTCTGTGAGTTCGAGGCCAGGCTGGACCGACAGCCTCCAAAACAATACAGAGAAACCCTGTCTTGTAAAAAAAAAAAAAAAAAGTTTTAGCATGGCCATTCTTGTGGTTCTCTCTCAGAAGTGGAAATATGGGGGTGGATGAGGTAGGCATCCTGTCATGGCAAAACCCAAACATTTGGAATAAAGCTAAATGCTCTTAGATAAACCACAATTAGGCATTTGTTGGCTGTCCCCAAGATATTAGTGCATATTTGCACCACTGGGGACATCTTCGTGGGCCTCAGAAAGGTGAGACGCTGATTTCTCTTCTCCCTTGGCTGCTTGCATCATTCCTTCCAAGACAGGAGAGCAAGCTTTCAGGGAAGAGGCTTTGAGGCCGGTGTCAGATTGATCCCTACTGTGTCTGAAACACAGATCGGGAACATGAGTCGGGTGCTATGGATGCAGAAAGGAGAAAGGGGGAGTGCAGTCCACAGAGGAAGAGGTAAGCAAAGGAGAGATAACATTGAGAATGGCTGAAAAAGCCGAAGAGAAGCACATT